CACATCTGCAGCACACACACAGGCATAATATATATATATATATATATTATTATCTATATTATTATATATATATACACGACGCACACGCACCACGCAACACGCTACTCACTGCATCGCACGCACTGCACGGCACTCACGCACGGCACCACAGAAGCGCAACACGACACACACCACACACCACACACACACACACACCAACAGCAACACACACACCACACACACACCACCACACAACCGCCGGGCGAGACCGCGCACACACAATCACCACACCATATATAATAGGATATATACGTAATATATACATATATATATATATACGGAATAAACGCCGTAAAAGCGTAAGCGGTTGAACAACGCAATTTTTCACGTCAAACATAGCCAAATGAGAAAGATCCACGGAAATCGCCCTATTATGCGCAAACAAATATGATGATCTATACTAGTCAAGGCAGCGCGAAGAGAAACAAACTGTTATAGTAAGGCTCCCTGCGGCGTAATAGCACGGACGAGGGTTGAGGAACCAACGAATGAGGAGCAGCTTATCAATGGACCCAATTTCTATCATTTAATTACGTGCGTTGTCTGTCATCCTATATGTCGCGCCGTGTAATAGCGACGCAAATAGAGTTAGTGATATATATATAATTTACTATCTTCCCTATTATCTACTTCTGATATATATATATATATATATATATATATATATTATAGTATATGTGTGTGTGTGTGTGTGTGTGTGTGTGTGTGTGTGTGTGTGTGTGTGTGTGTGTTGTGTGTGTGTGTGTGTGCTGTGTGTGCTGTGTGTGTGTGTGTGTATGTGTGTGTGTGTGTGTGTGTGTGTGTGTGTGTGTGTGTGTGTGTGTGTGTGTGTGTGCAGCGAGAGAATGAGAGCGAGAGTGTGCGGAGAAAGAGCGAACGTTTGTCCGGAACGCATCGTGGAAACATTAGCCGGGTTGCGTCAAGCACGATCGAAATGTCGTCGTTACTATACAGAGTAAATACAGTTCTGCAGCAGTGTAGCCCTTAGCTCAGTAGCCATAGTTTTGCCATACTGCAACCCTCAGCCCAACCACAAACATTAAATTAACCATGACCCAAGCATTAACGCTACCCTAACAGTTATCATAACCCCAACTCGAACCGTAAGTATTTTTTCTTGAAACGTTGAAAACATATGCCAAAACGACAACCTTAACATGAACATGAACATTAACATCAACTATATCACTCATATATTAGCTAAGGACTTCCCAACAATAGACATTATACCGTAAGCTTAACCCTAAACATATTTCAGACCCTAAACCGATAGTAACCTAGCTATATAACTCAACGACAATCTTAGCCCTTGTCACAACTATACCTTTAATGGTAACCTTAACGATCACTCCTACTCATAATCAGAAGACCATGTAAATTGTGCGTTAAAACAACGTTTAAATAATGCGCGAATAACACAAATTCCTCTGAGTAGCACCTAAAAGGTTCTCGACACGACAGCATTAAAACAGTGCGAGGCGAGTGAAAAAAAACCTAGAATGACGGATCGCTAACATTCCGCCTAGGGTCGTCATATGCAACAGAAGCATGGAAGTGTCATTGGAGAGCCTGCATGGGCGATCACACGCACTATCAACAGATAACAGACCGTGGACGCTGCTGAAAGCCTGCAAGCAATGCAACCTTCTGCCGCTGCATCCCAGCTAGCACCGCGGCCTGCTCCTGAGGCTCATAGGGTCTATGTCCCCCAGGGTACTGCCGGAACGTACCCTGGGTACGGTCCGGTATACCGAAACGTACCCTGGTCACTATTTGATATGGTTAGGGTTAGGATTAGGGTTAGGGTTAGGGTTAGAGTTAGGGTTAGGGTTAGGGTTAGGGTTAGGGTTAGGGTTAGAGTTAGGGTTAGGGTTAGGGTTAGGGTTAGGGTTAGGGTTAGGGTTAGGGTTAGGGTTAGGGTTAGAGTTAGTGAGTAGGCGTAGGCGTAGGCGACTCCCTAGACTTGTTAGTGGAGTAGGCGGGGTACGGTCCGGCATATTAGATAGTACCAGGGTACGTTCCGGTATACCGGACCGTACCCAGGGTACGTTTCGGCAGTACCTCGGGGGACATAGACCCATTCAGCGCTACTGAGAGCTGTCCCGTCACGGGTGCGTAGTAGTAAATACAGCGTGTGCACACATCTCGTCCGTATGTCGTCGACCGTACAAGCAGCAAGACGACCGAGCGCCAATAAAAATCAATAGCGAAAGCATTGCGACGCAGCGAAAAACGAAATGGTGGCGGCGAGTATTAGTGCTGTGTGAGCCGTGGGGTCCCACGCGCGCGCTATAGTAGCAAACGTCCAGCCTAGGGTACCTAGTCCAGCCCTAGCGCTGATAGGGTCTATGGTCCCCAGGGTACTGCCGGAACGTACCCTGGGTACGGTCCGGTATACCGGAACGTACCTGGGTACGGTCCGGTATACCGGAACGTACCCTGGTACTAAATACTACTATCTAATATGCCGGACCGTACCTCGCCTACTCCACTAACGAGTCTAGGGAGTCGCCTACGCCTACTCCCTAACCCTAACCCTAACTCTAACCCTAACACTAACCCTAACCCTAACCCTACCCCTAACCATATCAGCTAGATAGTTACCAGAGTACGTTCCAGTATACCGGACCGTACCCAGGGTACGTTCCGGCAGTACCCTGGGGGACATAGACCCTATCAGCAACACTAGCAGTGATAAGCCACGGACGATGTCTAGCCATCGCATCCCTCTCTTTCGCTCGCTGTTGCTCTCTCCCCTCACTCACTCCCTCTCTCGCTCGATCATGCCCCCTCCCCCTTCTTCTCCTCCGCTTCCTCCTTTTCTTCCTCCTCCTCCTCCTCCCGATGATTGAAAATTAAATACTGAAATAATAATTGTAAATCTATCACGTAGAATTATAATTGGCTGAAATAGGTTACTTCACTCTTCATAATCACGTCAAACATAGCCAAATGAGAAAGATTCCACGGAAATCGCCTATTATGCAACAGAAAATATGATGATCTATAGTCAAGGCACGCGAAGAGAAACCACGTTATTAGTAGGCTCCCTGAGGCGTAATAGCACGGACGAGGTTGAGGAACCAACGAAATGAGGAGCACGTTATCAATGACCCAATTTCTATCATTTTAATTACCTGCGCTGTCTGTCATCCTATATGTCGCGCTGTGAAATAGCGAGGCAAATAGAGTTAGTGATATATATATATATATATATATATATGTGTGTGTGTGTGTGTGTGTGTGTGTGTGTGTGTGTGTGTGTGTGTGTGTGTGTGTGTGTGTGTGTGTGTGTGTGTAGCGAAAGAATGAGAGCGAGAGTGTGAGGAGAAAGAGCGGACGTTTGTCCGGAACGCATCGCATTTAGCCGGGTTGCGTCAAGCACGATCGAAATGTCGTCGTTACTATACAGAGTAAATACAGTTCTGCAGCCGTGTAGACCTTTAACCGACAAGAAATATAAACTGACGGAAAGATATTATACAAGCAGATGCAATATGACAGTATTATTGATGCATTTAATATAATGCCAAAAGAAATAGATATTGAAGAGCGTTCGGATATTGACCGTTTACGCCGGTGGTACTAGTAAGCAGCTACATGTAGGAAAAGGACAGTCATGGTAAGTTAAATCATCATCGAGGCCCATGATGCAGCCCAGTTGTACCCGTAATCAGGAAGACTATGAAAGCGGAATGTGTAGGGAATAAACTTCTATAAAATGCAAACTATTCCTTAACCCAACAAGAATGTAAGCATTTACCCTAACCATAATTATAGCAGTAGCCACAGTTTTGCCATACTGCAACCCTCAGCCCAACCACAAACCTTAAATTAACCATGACCCAAGCATTAACGCTACCCTAACAGTTATCATAACGCTAACCCGAACCGTAAGTATTTTTTCTTAAAACGTTGAAAACATATGCCAAAACGACAACCTTAACATGAACATTAACATTAACATCAACTGTATCACTCAGATATTAGCTAAGAACTTCCCAATAATAGACCTTAGGCCGTAAGCTTAACCCTAAACATATTTCAGACCCTACACCAATAGTAACCTAGCTATATAACTCAACGACAATCTTAGCCCTTGTCACAACTATACCTTTAATGGTAACCTTAACGATCACTCCTACTCATAATTAGAAGACCATGTAAATTGTGCGTTAAAACAACGTTTAAAATAATGCGCGAATAACACAAATTCCTCTGAGTAGCACCCAAAAGGTTCTCGACACGAAAGCATTAAAACAGTGCAAGGCGAGTGAAAAAAACCTAGAATGACGGATCGCTAACATTCCGCCTAGGGTCGTCATATGCAACAGAAGCATGGAAGTGTCATTGGAGAGCCTGCATGGGCGATCACACGCACTATCAACAGATAACAGACCGTGGACGCTGCTGAAAGCCTGCAAGCAATGCAACCTTCTGCCGCTGCATCCCAGCTAGCACCGCGGCCTGCTACCGAGAGCTGTCCCGTCACGGGTGCGTAGTAGTAAATACAGCGCGTGCACACATCTCGTCCGTATGTCGTCGACCGTACAAGCAGCAAGCCGACCGAGCGCCAATAAAAATCAATAGCGAAAGCATGCGCGCACGCAGCGAAAAACGAAATGGTGGCGGCGAGTATTAGTGCTGTGTGAGCCGTGGGGTACCACGCGCGTGCTATAGTAGCAAACGTCAACACTAGCAGTGATAAGCCACGGACGATGTCTAACCATCGCCTCCCTCTCTTTCGCTCGCTGTTGCTCTCTCCCCTTACTCCCGCTCTCGCTCGATCATGCCCCCTCTTTCTTCTCCTCCTCCGCCTCCGCCTTCTTCTTCTCTCCTCCTCTTTTTCCTCCACTCCTCCCCCTCAGCCTCCTCTTCCTCCTTTTCTTCTTCTCTCTCGCGCGCGCCATCTTCCTCTCTATCATCTTTCTGTTTCTCTCTGTCTCAATCCTATCGCTCTCTTCTTTTCTCTTTCTCTCTCTATGTCTACGTCAAATTATTTTTTCTCTTTCTCGCTTTCTCTAGATCTACCACTCTTCGTCTACTTCTCTTTATAATCCCGAGAGATTTCAATTATTGACGGCGTCCCGGTTGCAAGCGAAAACCGGTAAACTACCGAGTAAACAAATAACTGGCAAAAAAATGAACTTATATGTATACAACTATAACGACGTTGAATTGAATGCACGCGTAATCCTTGTCATGGTAGTCTACCGTACCTTATTGGTGCATGCAAACAACTCGAGATGCATGTCGTGAATACTATAACTATTCAGGTACGTTTCGCTCTATAGCCTGCGATATACTGCCATACGCACACGCATCTACGTAATATGTAATTTTGCAAATATGAAAGCAATAGGACGTAAGTATAGGCGCCCTATAGTAGAAATCGTTCCCAATATATACAGACTAGACTACACATGAGGGTGGTACGTGGCAAGTTGACGTAGAGATATTGCGTAAGAAATTCGTCAGCCGTTGCGCAAATATTAAACATACGAAATAAAATGGTTCCGTGCATTTGGTTGTTGCATATCCAACTTGAATTTAAATCTCAGAATTCCGTCAAGGCATTTTCTCGGCATGCGCATAATATTTTGACATAAGATATTGCATATAATGTATACGAGCTGCAAGAATTGAAGACTAACGTTCGGCGCATTTGACCGATGTTCAAAATGAACGCAGCCGGTAAATGTGGGTTATCGACCAGTCACGTCTGGTAACTAAACCCACAAGCAATAAAACTCGAAATCCCGACAAACAAATGTCGCAATGAATAATGCATATGTAATAATGAGAGCATGTGGCCAAAAACCTATTACATTTACATAAATACACGAATACAACTGGAGATCTGTCCAATACGATTTACGATTTCCTAAACTATATGTAACGTAATATTACTTAGATTCGCTCACGGCGATAAGGAAACCTGTCCGATGATTCGTCAATAACAAACCTAATTGTCTAAATCGCGTCAATCAGCGTTGCGATAAGGCGTTCTAAAGACCACAAGGTCGACATTACTACATGTGCGCATAACTAACATATAAATAATATTCAATAAGGGTGTGAGTGTGTTCACTTTGCTAGATTGAGCTAATTTCTTAAATTATTAATAATTGCTTCTTGGTCGACAAACTCGAACAGTCCGGGAGCGTTGACAAAGAACGACAGCGTGCCTGACAAAATGACGAGGACAAACGTGTAGAGAAGCAGACGGTCGAGAACCATGGCAACGTACCTCCAGTCCTCCGCCACCTGCCGAGCGAAATAAGCAATTACTCGATAGAAATTTCATTAAAAGCGTTTATTACTGTAACATAAAACGACTACTATTGTATCATGCTACGAAGCCACACGCCACGCACGCCCAAACACTCAAGCACGCATGAGCAGATTAATTAAAATAGACGAAACGTACGCACGCACGCGCGCATCATACGCATCTATTATTATCTCTCTCTCAAGCATAAATCCAGGTGGACCGTGATAGTTGCCTGGTCAAAAAAAGCAATCTACACCGCAGCCGCCATCTGCTCGCGCCTAGTGTGTATTCACGCACTTGATATTCACGACCAACGTGAATTCATTATATGTGCATCGAATGTGCGGGCACCTTTTAGATTACTCGCCGAAATACACGGAGCTCTTAAATGTCACATAGAAATATGACCGCACAGAGACTAACTGTATGAGAGACACGGGTTGAGAATTTGCTTGGAAATTTCACTCGTATGCGACTAACCGATAATATCCTTCAGAATTTTACTGATCCGAAAACTCGATTGATTTCTGATAATTTCTATTATGTAAAAAATGTGCACGGGAATTATCTCTGCTTACGATATTACGGATAAATCGGCTTCAGTATAATATGTTGGCTACTTGAAATAAGGACATTCAATCATGTTTATATGTTTATTTTACATCGAGAGAACCAGTGAGTGCGGAATAACTAACCACATATCACCGCTGATGTAAGAGCACATAATAATAATACTGCAGCATACGCTTTTATTCGTTACGAAGGTTAGACACATGCTAGGTTCTTATACGATATTTTAGTTCTATCCTCACCTCTGATACTTTGTCGTACACACGGAGATGGTCGGAGATAAGCTCAATTGCACAAGCGGCCCTCTGGACTTCTGGTGGAGCGACGACGGAGCTGCGACTGTTTTCCCCTATGTCATCCGCATCGGCAGCCTGCCCTTCAGCCGGAAATAGACTACAATGTGGATGATGGTGTTCCTTCATCGGTAACGGAAGCGACGTAACAACTTGCTGCGAGAATGTTGGATCCGGGTTTGTGTCTAGCTTAGCGTACATATGGCCGCTGTAATTCACCGTCGTTACGTTAGGTCTCTTCATGAAGAGAAACTTTGGCATGATTTCGATGAACACTCGCTTGATCCATCGCGGCATGTTGTGCGTCACGGGTCCCCGGTAGTTCCAGTTGATGATGATCACAGTGATGAATATCGTACATATATTCATGAGAAACGTGAAAAGCAGATACTTCGAAACTAGAGGTATCGTCAGCGACGTTGGCGGAAGGATCATCGACACCAGAAACAGAAATACGATGAGCGCGAGCAGCAGCGATATAGCCAGCGTCATCTTCTCACCACAGTCGGAGGGCAAGTAGAACACGATCATGCTCAACATCGCAAGTGATACGCAGGGCATGACGAGGTTGATCGTGTAGAATAGCGTCTTCCGTCGGATTTGCAGCGAGTAGTACATGTACTCCTTCGGTGGATCGCCGTTCGTGCCATTCTCGATTATGATTTCCGACGGACAGTCGATCAGGTCCCAAGTGCCGCTATAGACGTAGTCGTTTAGATCAATCATCTTCAGGCCCGAGTGGTAGGCGAGCTGCAGCAGGTCACCGCTGAATGTCCATGAGCCGAATTTCATGCCGCAGGTCTGCTGGTCGTAGGGGAAATAGCGCACGTCGATTGTGCACGATGTTTGAAAGATGGCCGGAGGAATCCACTGTACGGTGCCGTCGTAGTTAAGGACAATATTTACTCGCGAGTTCGCCTGGTAATTGCCGTCAGCACTGGAAAAATAAAACGAAGATTTTTTAACGAAGTACGTGGCACGTCGAGCGGCAATGTCGTGAATCTATATAGACACATGGCAGACATGATGCCGGTTTAACACTGGGTCCATATTGAAAATACGATGTAAACTATCAAGGAATAGCTACACGGTGGAGAGACACTAAATGAGAGAACAGCAACTTACTAGAAATAAAAATCGATCGATAGCAAATATGACCGTTGCATATTGCAGGCATATTACCGAGAAAATATTTACCGGGCCCTTTATTGTCACCAACGCGACATATTTGAAGCTGTCATATGTTACAGTATTCATAGAGATTTCACGGGTGTGCTAATTCAGTGTTATACGGTTTACTAATTTTTACAGCGATAAAGAGCTTTTGCGCGAGAATAGTCTTTACATGTGTGTGCAGCGGAATTGCCATTCGGCTTGATTTGCCATTACATTGCTTGATTTAGCAGACAATATTCCTTCCTACTTATACGGACATATAATATATATGGACCTTTATGGACGCGCCTACGCTTGTTTAGTTATAACAGGATGGGATGTGTAACGTTCAAAACAGCATTGATGGGAATGACGGCCGGTGCAGTAAAGGTAGCAGCCTATATAGTAGCAGGTCGTGTGCCATTGCGTAAATTCATGTAGATTCTAAAATTTGTGTCTTTACAATTCTATTCACCTTCATCGTCTTAAATTCTTCACGTTGCGTAAATTAAAAAGATCCATGCGAACTCCTGCGTATAGTTTAGGTTTACGTGCCGGCACTACACGTACCACACGAGCGGCTAAACTATCCCCGATGGCAGAAACAGTCACGATGGCAGTCCGACAGTCGGAGCGAGTTTGCGGGGACAGGTATGCAAAGAGCGAGACAAGAGGGTTACACCACCGCCAACACCGCCACCGCCGCGCCACCGCCACCGCCATCGCCATCGCCACCGCCACCGCCAGCGCCACCGCCACCACCACCACCACTACTGAAGTTAGCATGCAAGACGTGGTTGATAACAATTAAGTTAGCAATTAAGCCTCCTGTTACAGAACTGACATTTGCTGAAAAGAGAATTACTAAATTTTAGACTTACTTGTTGAAGAGCACTATATCTGGTACCCAGATTTTATCAGAGGGGATTTGTATCTCTTTCAGGCCGTTATACTCCGTCGGATCCCAGGCTAGTTGATAATCATTCCAGGTCTGCAAATGCATAACGCGCCCAAGGCGTGTTAGTAGATACCAACGCAATGTTATTAATTAACACAACGAAACGACACCATGCGACGTGACATCCGCCAGACTTTGCCATATATGGTCAAATATTTATTTATGTCGAAAGAAAAGAAATTAACACCACAAGAAAACTTACGTGTCTGAGCCAGATGTTGGTCTTTATTATTTGATTCTTTTCATCCTAGAAATAAACGTCAAAAGGATACCTCTATTCATTTAAACGCATTTCATCTCGGATGAAGTAAAATGGTGTGATTGCCTTAAACTGGTAACTAAAAACTGGCGTTGTTTGTTTTAACATGCGCAATGATTGTAGTTAATTTTTACTACTAATATTAGATAATAATATTATGAGATGTTCATCTTAATCGATTAGTAGACTAATAGTTTTACTGCTACAACGACACTATATATACGTATACGTACAGAAAATATTATAATTAAAACAACTGGAGACATATTTGCACAAACGTTTTCGCATTATTGCTCTTCAGGTGCATAGGAATGATGGATGGAAGGAGTGCACATGAAGAGCAATAAAGCGAAAACGTTTGTGCAAATGTCTCCAGTTGTTTTAATTATAATATTTTCTGTATATATATATATATATATATATATATATATATATATATATATATATATATATATATATATATATATACCAGTGTATACGCAATGTGTTCCAGTGTGTACGCAAGTTGTATTAAAACAGTGGTTAGGGCGAAACAGAAACAGGATCAGCATGACATCTCGCTAGCGCGCGCGTGGTTGAATAAGCCGCTATCATAGATAGACCAGAGCCATCGTTGCTTCTTCCTGATCACGACCGTTGAACCTGACCCACTTAACTGCACGGCGGCCCTAAACTAGACACGATCGACGCGACACAGCAGAAGCTGCTGGTCTTTCCTGGTGGCTGTGCCATTGGTGGCGGGGGGGGGATTAACCATCTATGATGGACGTGGTCGCATCGAAACTACTACAAACTACGTGACTGCTGTGTGCTCAAAAGGATGAGCGAGGCGGCTGCAGGATGAGGAAGACGTGGAGGTTGCGGAAGAGTACGAGGGGAGGAGGAAGATGATGATGAAGATAATGAAGATGATGATGAAGATAATGATGATGATGATGACAATGAGGAGGAGGAAAAGGAGGAGGAGGAGAAGGAGGAGGCTGGCGAGAGGAGGAGAGTTGTGTGGATACGTTAAAATTAATCTTAATATTTAATAATTTCAAAAATAATTTAATATGTAGTTCTTTAAAATATTTTGGCTCTTCAAGGAGTAGTGGGCCACGCCACGTGTTTGTTGTCGTAGGTGAATATAATGGATTGTTTTACCGGGGCGAGGACGCTCCCCTTATCTCAATCCCATAACGCAGTGATGCAATCATTTCTATACCTGACGCCAACTGAACAGAAGCAGAATAATCGTGTCAAGCTGGCGGTTTAACATCAGTGACAAGGTATAGGCTTCAAATACCGGACCATTGAGCCTGATGTTCTAAAAGCTAACTGTTAGATAAATACTCCTAAACAGCTCTCATTGCGAGGGTTTATCACGTGGCCGTATATAAAATGCTGCGTTAAATATTAAGGATAGATGGGAGAGAGCCGTCGCAACAGAATATCCAACGCAGCCGCTACTAGAATAACAACCAAGCAACGATAGAATAGATAGCACGCGGTATGTTGGGCACCGTAGCCTTGAAAATGACGTCATAGAATGGGGTATCGTCGGCGAGAAGGGGAGGGGGGTCTTGGGGTAGAGCGGCAGTACGTGCGTAGCTAGACGCGCACTTACGACATTGATTATCTGTGTGAGGGCAACTCCGAAGTCGCAGTAGGTGATTTCACTCTGGTTGCGGACTGGACGTATTAGCCGGTTGTAGTCGTTGAACAGCTTCATAACAAGTTTGTCCTCGTGACCCGTCTTGTCTGCTTTTCCGCTCCCATGCACAAGCTCTGCGCACAAGGAAAAGCAGTAGTCAACACCGCGTGATGATAGTTATTGCGTATGCACACATAGCGAAGCAGTAGTACTAATCATTCAGTTAAAGTAGCTATTTCGGACTAACGTATCGTCTAACTTGTAGTCTTACCTTTCGTGTGGTCATAGCGAATAAAGTAAAACTAGATCAAGCAGTAGTCAGCACTACTTGTTAGCATAGATAACCTGTGCGTATTGCTCATGACGACAGAAAATGTATACAGAGTGGCTACGCGTCCGGTTACCGGACGCCCAGCTCCCTGGCTACGCGTCCCGTCATCCATTTCACACGAGATCATCAGGTGTTAGTAACAAATTGTTGCATGGAAACGCGTGCGTTGCGTTGTTTGTGGTCAATTTCGTACAGGCTTCTACTAGTTATTAAACTGCTTCACAACAAAAACCGCACCGGTGCGTATCGTGTATGTTATGGCAAGTGCCCCAAATCTACGTCACGATTAGGCCACGCCCCGTTCAAATGTTTAATTCTACTGGATTTACTATTGTTTCAAGCGTTACAAAAACACATTTTTTTGATAAAATACTTAAACGTAAGTATTAATATGGTAAAATTACTGTTTAGTGTTTTTTCCTGAAAAAAATATAGTTGGGTTCACATAAGAAATGATGACCGGACGTGTAGCCCGGGAGTTAGGCGTCCGGTAGCCGGACGCGTAGCCACGGCCAAATGTATAAGCCATGAACCGCGTTAAATTCCGTATACAAATTTAGAAGTTCATACATCGTTCCACTCAACAAGATCATTACGCGCTGTGGGAATTAACTAAAATCCCAGTAACTAGAGTCCCATTAATAGTGAGTTGCAACATAGGCTTTATATTATGTCCAACGAGGTTGGTGAAATTAATTCAATTGCAAGAAGTTGGAATTAGCAGTAGTAGTTAAAAATATATCATCTCGATGCTAGCAAAACCGAAATAAACGGGGCTGTAAAGCATTTTACTCTTGGAAAATATAGCTAACTAGCCTGGTACCCGACGTTGCTCGGGGAAAAACGCGTAGGAACAACTTTTAATAGCAAATTCATCCACATATACTTACTTAATTCTAAAATATTTTTACCCCCCCCCCTTCACCCATACGATCCCCACCAGAAAAAAAAGAGAATCGTACTGGATTCACAATCTAAACACTATCCAACCACACGGACTCAATCTACGGGTAGAGATTCCGGGATGGATAGAAGACAGTAATCACCCTCCCACCAGCATGGTATACACGCAATGCTAATTCTCAGCCGACACTCTAGGGTAGGGGGTGGCTCGGTTTACCTTTTTATAACTTTTTTTTACTTAATTCTAAGGATTGATTCGAAACAAACAATAAGCAATATTCGGACAAAAAACATTCGAACGATTCTATGACTCTGTGTAGTCAAAGATTCTGGATATACAACATTGTTATGAAATTGCGCCAAGTTATTATGAATATCCCTCTCTGGCTTTGCAAGCCTCATCTCGCCTATTAAATACACAATTGCTGACATCTGTCACGTGTCTCTCGTATCATTGGGATTTGCTTTACATCAAAATAATACATGAAAACTAAACTGCACTAAATACATAGGTCAATAAACTAAACTCGTCAATATAGCACGGTATCAGTTCAGGGTCACTTTCATCGTAAAATAATGAGCAGATTTTAAAAAGTAAATATTTCTCCAAACGTATGGATATCACCTCATTTTAACCAAATTAGTTGGTCAATTTGGCAGAGTTCTGCACCAGTGAAGTTACCATAGATGACATTATCAAACATATGAATAGCACCTGTTTTAACAAACTTAATTCTTTATACCATGTGAGACTCAACTGACAACTGAGTGCATAATAAAAAAAGATATAAATTTGGCATAGTTTAACCTGGTATTAACAAAGTTTTAGCTTTTGTCCGCTAGATGGCTACATTCGCGGAAATTTGGCTGTTCTACTTTTCTGACATCACTCCACTACTAAAATTATCGCCCGTATTAAGGCCTATAATTGATCGTCATTATATCTACAAAATTGGGTGGATTTAACAAATATGAATAAGCCTATGTTGGTGTCGGACACACGGGCTATACACTGAGATCGGTGGCGTGGGCTTATTGCTCACTGCGGATAAGATTACCGCGTCAGAATATCGGTCTCTCCTCTCTTATAAGATAGAAGTATCAACAAATGCTGGCGAGAGGGTAAGAACTGTATTTAAATTTTATTTTGTAATTCAGAACTTAGATATACCCTCTAATACGTCAGCTGTTTTTATCGGGTCTGACTGAAAATTTAAACATACAAAGGCACAGGCAACCGGTGTGATTATGCCTAATTTGTGTGTATTTTAAAATAAATTAATGCAAATTATATTTAGTATGAGCCACTAGTAAGCTAGATATCTCCGGTTACTAGTGGCTCATACTAAATATAATTTGCATTAATTTATTTTAAAATACACACAAATTAGGCATAATCACACCGGTTGCCTGTGCCTTTGTATGTTTAAATTTTCAGTCAGACCCGATAGAAATAGCTGACGTATTAGAAGGTATATCTAAGTTCTGAATTGAAATACATTGAATTGTAGTTAGAATAATTGACAAATAAAATTGAAATACAGTTCTTACCCTCTCGCCAGCATTTGTTGATACTTCTATGTTATAAGAAAGGAGAGACCGATATTCTGACGCGGTAATCTTAGCCGCAGTACTGACGTAGTGCACGATTGATAAGTAAGCCTAATAATAATGTTGCCGTAAAGTAGAGCCTAGGGGACACGGTGATTTGTGCGAGTGGTGAGCGTAAATAGATTCACTGTTTTACAAAGGACTCCGGACTGTCTCTGCAGACGGGCACACTAAAACCTAAATATGCGAGAGAAAGAGAGAAAGCGAATTAAATAGATAGATGAATGGATGGATGGATGGATGGGTGGCTGGATGGATGGATGGATGGATGGATGGATGGATGGATGGATGGATGATGGATTGGATGATCGGATGGATGGGACTGGATGGTATGGTGTTGGGATGGATAGGATGGCATGGAACAGACAGATAGACAGACCATATATACTATATATATATAAATAGATAGATTGATAGATCAGATCATATAATAGATACGATTAGATAGATAGATAGATAGATAGATAGATCGGAGGAAATATGAATGGATGAATGGATGATTGATGTATGATGATGGAGTGGTATGATGGATGATTGTGATGGATGGATGGATGGATGGATAAATGATTGGATGGATGGATGGATGAGATATGATAGATAGATAGATATATAAATAAGATAGATAGATAGATTAATATATATATAGTATAGATAGTGACAGAGGCAAAGTGAGATATAGGAAGATAGATAGATATGGTAGGAGTAGAGTAGGATGATGATAGGGGATACGATAGATAGATAGGTATGTAGAGTAGGATTAGGATAGATAGATGAAGAGTAGATAGATAGATAAATAGAGTGAGATAGATAAGATTAAGAGTAGATAGACCTAGATTTAGATAGACTAGATATGGATAGATATGATAGCTAGATTAGATATGCCTAGGATAGATAGAAAGATATGGATTAGGAGGTGAGATGAGAGGTAGGAGTAGATTTGGAGGTGGACAGACAGAGTAGACCAGACATATATATTATATATAAATAGGATAGATTAGGATAAGATTAGATCAATATAGGTATGATAGATGAGAGTAGATAATAGCTAAATTAGATAAGATGGATAATATAAATGGGAGTGGAATGATGATGAGGATGGATGATTGGATGATGGATGGATGAGGATGGTGAGTGAGGAGTGGAGGAGATAGATTTAGAAACGATACGCTCTAATAAATAGATATGAGTAGATAGATAGATAGTATAGGAGATGATTAGCATAGATCAAATAGATATATGCGGATAGGATAGTAGGGTGGAGGTTAGAGTAGATAGGATAGATAGGATAGTAAGGTGGTGAGAGTGTGATGATAGAAGATTAGGATTAAGATATGATAAATATGATAAATAGATACTGTATAGATAATAGAGACGAGTAGATTATGGATAGATAATGAGTAGATGTGAGGTGATAGTGATGAGAAGTCGATAAATAGATAGAGCTAGATAGATAGAGTTGATGAGAAATATGATAGATAGATCTAGATAGATAGATATGGATAGATAGATAGCTAGAGTGGATGGATGGAATAATGGATGGATAGATGGATGGATGGATGGGTGAATGGATGGATGGATGAATAGATAGATAGATGGATGAATGGATGGATGTATGGATGGATGGATGGATGTATGAATGGATAAATAAATGGGTGGATTAATGGATAAATTATTTGATGGATGATTAGACGGAAGGATAGATCATGTATAATGAGCCATATCAGTACAGTGCATATAATCACGACTACCACGCACTCTCCAACGCATACACGACAATGTCACACCTTTGCAGAGAAAGTAACGACATACCTAACATGAAGTGCAAAACGATGATAACGTAGTAAATCGACGTCATATTGCTGATTCATTCATGTGGATCTATGAGTGCTGCCGGCGCACGAGCAGAGCAATTCGTCGACGGATGGCGACCTCAGTATGCTAGGCCGCTGCGAAACGTCATATGCGTGAAAAGATGCGTCGCCACATTACTGCCTCACCATTTCGTAACGTCACTTTATTACTGCTTTATAACGTCATAACATCACCGCACTACTGCGTCGCTTCGCCGTAACGCCACCATATTGTAAATGTCACCACAATGTAACGTCACAATAGTGATGCAGCGCAGCAAGAATACGTCGCCACCTCCCTGCTGATAACCACTGATAACGTTACTACACGCCGCCACCGATAACGTTCCTATGTTACTGCATCGTCGCAGACCAACGTCATCACATTATACAATCACTATGATACTGTGTCACCACGGTATTGCGTCACCCGACTACCGCATCACCTACGTACCGCGACACCAACGTATTGAGTCACCAATAGGCTGCGTAAGCAGTGCCCTGCGTTAGCAACGTGCTGTGTGGTTACGCTCTAAAGTTGTCACGGTAAATCGACTGATACTTTGTATATAGCTGCGCGGAGCCGCCTATATATGTATGCTGCAGGCGTTGTCGGTTGTCGCTATCAGTAAGTGTGAGTTTGTGATGCCTCTAAGCCACAGATCTCGCACACATCGCCAGCACAAGGCTTTCTTCCCGGTACAAACGGCTACTCGCTGTCTGATGGTCGAGCCGGAGACTGCAGTGGGCTGCCTAGCCACGCCACGGCCTCATGCATGCGCGCCGATGATGTGTGCGTGTTACCGTTAGTCGATAGACAATCGATCGGCGGCTGAGCGCTACCGCGTATATCATTGCCCATCGCGAGCCTAGACAGTAGGCTACCATGCACGGCGACCGTCGACTCATCCACACAGAAGAGGATGCTTCCCAACTGTATGTTAAAAGGTGCATTACTTATACACGAATATTTGTTATCGTAAATAGGCGTTCCACTGTGTGCGATGCATGCGATGGTGGAAAATTGTCCCGTTATTGTGTTGCGCGTTTATAGTGTGTAGAGAGTTTGAGAAAAAGGGGACGAAATGGAGTTATTGCTTGCCTGTTCAGCAGGATAGAAATGTCGAAGGATGTGTCGCGATAGGTCGTGAATGAGGCGGTGGGTCAGTGAACTGGCGGATAAGCCAGGATAGTACGAAAATTATCTTAGCCACAGCTTTCACACGCTCCCACTCACACTCACTCACTCACTCGCTCGCTCGCTCACGCACTCACTTACTCACTCTCCGAACTCACGCACTCAATCGCTTACTCACTCACTCACTCATCCATCTAACCAACCAACCACTTACTCACTCACTCACTCACTCACTCACTCACTCACTCACTCACTCACTCACTCACTCACTCACTCACTCACTCACTCACTCACTCACTCACTCACTCACTCACTCACTCACTCACTCACTCACTCACTCACTCACTCACTCACTCTCTTACTCACTTATTCAGCGCGCGCACACGTGTGTATGTGTGTGCGTGTGGCGGTGTGTGGTGTGGTGTGTGTGTGTGTGTGTGTGTGTGGTTTGTTAGTGTAGGTGTAGGGTGTGCAAGGTAGCACGCAGCCCTACAATACAACATAGGTGTGTGTGTGGGAGGGGGTGGTGTAGGTGTGTGTGTATGCGTGCGTGTGTGTAGGTGTGTGTGTGTGTGTGTGTGTGTGTGTGTGTATGTGTGGTGTGTGTGGTGCATGTGTGTGTGCGTGTACTGTAGGTGTGTGTAAGACGGGCGTGAGGTGTGGCGTGTGTGTGTGTGTGTGTGTGTGTGTGTGTGTGTGTGTGTGTGTGTGTGTGTGTGTGTGTGTGTGTGTGCGCGTGTATAGGGAAGTCTATTTCTACCTGTGATCGTATGAGTGGTTACGCGTGAGTGTGTGTATATGAACAGACTTAACTATGCATCTGCCCATAACGGGGCGAATGCGTACAGTCGAGGTACGCGAGTAACATCACCTAACTTACGAAGTTACGGATGTGTGTTAGCTGGCTCGAACCAATATCGTCTAGTCTGTAAGGTGTCTCTAACTCTCGCTCTGATCCTCTCCTCTCTGGTCGAACACGCGGTTATATACTCACATAGGTAGACACGCCTACCTATTGTTTATGGTCAGTCCGTACTACATTACTGTCTGTAATTGGCTAACTCTACCCTGTCTATTCCCGCGTTTTCTGGCCATGTATGCCAACCCAGAACAATAGGTTATTCCTATATATTTATTTATCTGTCTTTTGACAGTATTACATTATCCCTCCCATAGGCAAAGTTGTAAGCCACAGCTATGCGGCGAACAACGTCCTTAGGCAAAATGTACTGCCGTACTTTAATACGTATTTTATATTAATTTTATTTTTATTTTTATTTTACGTTATGTTATATTATGTTGTATTTGGTTTTATTCAGTGCTCCCATCACCCCTATTAATTATTTTGACTAGCTTAACTAAATTTGATCGTAACTAAAGAAAGAGCTCTTTATTTTATTTTATGTTTATCTACATTTTCTTCTTTTGTTTTTGTAATTTTTTTAAAACTAATCTGGCGTCGTAGCCGTCGTCGTCGTCGTCGTGGTCGTCGCCGTGGGGTCCTCGCCGTTGTGGTCATCGTTGTGGGGGCCGTCGCCGTGCGGGTCGTTGCCATGGATGTCGTCGCTGTGAGGGTCGTCGCCGTGAATGTCGTCGCCGTGAGGGTCGTCGCCGTGGATGTTCATTTGTCCCAGCAGCTGTAGAACTCTCGTTCGTCGTCTTCGTCATCGTCGTCGTCGCTCACCATCCATTCTTCGTCCGACATCAAGTGCGCTGGCCGGTGCTGGTTTTCCCAGGATATTCCTGGAAGTGGCGCGTCCTCCACGGGAACCACCTTAATAGCATAATGTTCCTTCGTGACGTGCACGACGGTGAACCCCGTGTTGAGGCGCCGAAACTTTAGGTCATCCTGGAGGAAGTGGCTCCACGAATTGTAGGCAATTTGTCCATGGGTGTCGCCAAAGATGAGGCGCGGCGTCGCATTCGGGGCTCTGCAGTTAGAGTAGCGAATCAATGTCTGTGTCGTCTGCTCCGTACGTGCGGTGGCGGTGGCGGTGGCGTTGGTGGTGGCGGTGGCGGTGGCGCTAGCGACGACGCGTGGGAGGTGACCGGGTTCCACACAAACACGTCTGTGTGGTGGCTGTCCCTGGGCCTCGTCATTGGGGCGGCGCACTCCGTTCGGGGCACGGCGTGCTGGGGGGGGGGGCGCCGTGGTCCGGGGTCGTTGTGTCCGGCTGATCCTCGGGTGCCACCCTGGGCAGTGGAGCCTGCTGTACCGGGAGTGTTTGGAGGGCGATGGTGTCGTCTACACGCACCACCGTGAATCCTGGTCACGGCACCAGTATAGGGAAGTCTATTACTACATGTGATCGTATGAGTGGTTACGCGTGAGTGTGTGTATTACACCCTTTGCTAGCGTCTATTTGAATGCAGATAATAAAGAAACATAACGACTCTGATGAACGTATCCAGTTATCTCTTTAATTGAACAGACTTAACTATGCATCCGCCCATAACGGGGCGAATGCGTACAGTCGAGGTACGCGAGTAACATCACCTAACTTACGAGGTTACGGATGTGTGTTAGCTGGCTCGAACCAATATCGTCTAGTCTGTAAGTTGTCTCTAACTCTCGCTCTGATCCTCTCCTCTCTAGTCGAACAGTAACTAACTAACTCTAACGGTTATATACTCACATAGGTAGACACTCCTACCTATTGTTCATGGTCAGTCCGTACTACATTACTGTCTGTAATTGGCTAATTCTACCCTGTCTATTCCTGCGTTACAACTTTACACAGCTGGCCATGTATGCCAACCCAGAACAATAGGTTCTTCCTATATATTTATTTATCCGTCTTTCGACGGTATTACACGTGCGTGTTCATTTGCGGGTTTATGTGCATGTGTGCGGGAGTGTTTGTGCATACGTTCATGTTCCAGCGGCAGTAATAACTAGTAAGACGTTTTATTGCAGGCAGACAACTGCAAGAGAGAGCTGATGTTGATGCTTGGTGCATGCATGCCCCGGGCTGCGTGGGGTAGTATTGCGAGATGCACAGATAGCCCTTCCGCAATACACGTTCGCGACCAAAGTTGTTAACCAAACTAGCGAGATCTTTCGGGAAACGTATCAGTGCAAACACGCGTTGTTGAAAATTTTATTCAGGAAGTTTCTTCCATTTGTCAGGTGCAGGGCTCACACGATGCGTGATACCCCAATCGAAGGAGTTTATAATATGTTATTTTCTCCCGAGAAAGAAAGTGAGGAAGGTAGGAGGAGAGGGGCGGAGTAGGAGCTAACGCGTATGATAGAGAAGGTTGAGACCGAGAAAGACGGCGGAGAGGAAGAGAGTTTGGGAAGCCAGATGGCGAGGAGAATCGAGGGAGAAAGAAAGAGAGAGAGACTAAAATCTAGGCTGATTGCGGCGATCGGATCGTTTTCAATTACACACTAAGTAACAGGACTAAAGACTCACAGCATCGCGGTTTAAAAAATTTCTTATAATTATTATTTAAAGGATTAAAATGCTAAGCGATTACAACAGCGGTCAGATATAAGTGTGCAGTTTGTATGATAAATGGTAGTTATGGACAACATTTAAATTGCATTTCCACATACATCGGAATTTCTTGCTTAGGGCGCACTCAACCGTGTAAATAAATAAATCACTCGCATACGTGGTTACATACGACTAAGTATACATTATGTACATCCATCGGTTAGAATCAGAAAACCATGCAGCAGTAGCCAGAGATGCTTGCCATGATTGACGTAATTCGAGGCGGATATTGAATAATTTCAATGATAAAATAATAATAATAATACTTTAATAATTTTAATTTCCATTCCAGCTACGCGGTATATTGATTCAGGTTGACTTCGATTTGCTGCTGATTAACACACAGACGCACGCACGCACACGCACGCGCACACGCACACGCACACGCACATGCGCACGCGCACACACACGAACGCGCACACGCACACACACACGCACATACGTTTGCACGCACGCACACGCACACGCACACGCGCACCAACGCACGCACGCACACACAAAGGCGAGCCTGGTTTTCAATGTGTTAGCCGGGTAGGTTCGGCTGGCCCGGTGTTGTGGGTGTACGGGTGGCTTTCGTCACTGTCTGTCCGTACAA